CAAAATATCCACAAACGCAGCCACGAGAGGGGACTTAATCATTAGAATCGGGTTTTAGGGGGGTATTGCAGTACATTTAAAAAAGGACCATACCCTAAACCCTAACCCTAAACCCTAAACCCTAAACCCTCTGTTGCCGTGCCACCTGCAGCTGCAGCTGCAGCAGCAGCTGCCCAGCGAGCCACCGGGCAGGGGCTGGCGCGTCCTTTTGGGTTCAGAAGGGGGGGGTTTAGGGTTGAGGGTTTGGGGGTTTAGGGTTTACGGTTTTGGGGGTTTTGGGTTTAGGGTGTGGGGTGAAGGGTCTAGGGTGTAGGGCTTAGGGTTTAGGGCTGAAAGTTTTGACGGTTCAAGGCTGGGAGTTGGTCCACTTGTGAGCAACGTACGTAGGAACTGACAGCGAGAGCCCTGAAAAAATCAAACTTCCATGTGTTCCAGACCCAGGAGCAGCCTAGGAATAAATCGGGTGCCCTTTTTGGTTTAAAGGAGGTTCTAAGGGAACCGAAACCCCCAAAAAAGGAACTAAGGGCCTACTCGAGGTCATAGGGATACAAGTAGGGTTGGCTTTCTACAGAGTTGTGTAGGGTTATGACGGTTATGTAAGGCTGTACTGGAATGGTTTGCCCACTGGCCTTTACATGAGCGTCGATTTTATTTGCTGGCGGGCGCAATGAGCCTATTTTAATGTTCGGTCCCTGATCTCGTTTGCTTTAAAACACCTCTTCCGGGCCAATGTCGTCTTAAGGGGTGATCTCGTTCAGTATTGAATATACTTGGAGTGTAGTGAGTGATATAGTTGCCCTTAACCTTCGCCCGGTAACCCATAGTGCTTCTCTGAACAACTCTGTCATTTCCACCCGTTTACGGTTAGGGTTTAGGGAGCAGGGCTCAAGTTGTTGCGAAGACGTGCCCCAGTACTCTTGTTGCCTCCGTGGAAAGCAACTAAACAGGAGACATTTCACTCCTAAACTGGCCCTAAACCTTCCAGCCCTGTCTCAATAACTCCTAAACCCTAATCCTTGTGATTGTGCCTCCCATGGCCCTCTGGCTTCTGTAGCTGCCTTCGTGCAATTTTTTGATCACGTTTGGATCTCGTTTGGGATCGGCAGCAAGCTCCTGGCCCGCCAGACCCCCTCAATCCCCAACCTGGGCCGAAGCGGTTGAGCCTCAAAGGCTTCTGAGTCTAAGCGGTTCAAAGCGCAGCCGCCGTTCCCAGCGAGCAGCTTTTGCCAGCAATAGCCTACGCGAAACCAACTCTTCATCGTTTACCCAACGCCTTCACACAACTATACATGGTGTCTGTGTATATATAACTAAACAAAGGCTTAGTTATATATCTATATAGTATAGGTACAGATAAGGATTTTGTATGCAATATATGCAAGTAAACAAGTACAAGTATAAATCTCTTCATTCTACAACATGATCTCGTTTGATGTTCGGCCCTGATCTCGTTACCGAGAGAGAGCGACACCCCAACCAAAAAATAGTGCACACCCAAAGAAACTCTGCTCGTGCGTAAATAAAAGCGGTTGCTCGACATGTTTTTCTCAACATCAACCTTGGATAGCCGTTAAGGATACCCCACGTAGGGCCAGGTCATCTTGCGTACAGCTCTCCTTCTCAGCACCCATCAGACGCCGACCTAAACGCCAAAACCCCAAACCCTGAGCACCCCTGGAAGCCCAAGACCCTAGATCCCCGAACCCCCTGACCTAAAAACCCAAGACCTTATTTTCTGACAAGAATATTTGAACTTTAAGCCCTAAACCCTAAAGGCTAAACCCTAAACCCTAAACGCCAGGTACTGCCTGCGCGACTGCAGGCAGCACCGCGCGCAGCGACTGAAGCCTCTCCCAGGAAAGGGTAGATTTAGGGTTTGGGGTTTAGGGTTTAGGGTTTCGGGTTTAGGGGTTTAGGGTTGAGTTTTGGGTGTAGTGTTGAAGGTTGAGCTCCTAAACCCTACACCCTACACCCTTAGGGGCGAGTAGACACTTTTCTATATATATATATATATATGTATATGCAATATAGGTTAACACATACATACAGACATAGATACATAAATACTTACTTGTATACCTTCCTGTATAACACATGTATGTCTACAAAGGAAAATACGACGCCCCCCCAACACGGAGCCTCACTCTCGGAACCAAGCCCTGCGCCTGGTGGGCTCTGCCCGCATGGCCAGCAAGGACCAGAGTGCAAAGCAGCAGCCAGGCCAGAGGGGACTGTCCTCAAGACGAGGGAGTTTGGCGCAAAACGGTTTCTCGCAACTAAGCAAGAACGGCAATGAGGTGCTTGAACTTGCAGGCGGGCGGGCGGGCGGGCGGGCGTGCGGGCGTGGGTGTGTGTGTGTGTGTGTGTGTGTGTGTGGGTGTTTGTGTGTGTGTGTGTGTGTGTGTGTGTGTGTGTGTGTGTGTGTGTGTGTGTGTGTGTGTGTGTGTGTGTGTGTGTGTGTGTGTGTGTGTGTGTGTGTGTGTGTGTGTGTGTGTTGTGTGTGTGTGTGTGTGTGTGTGTGTGTGTGTGTGTGTGTGTGTGTGGGTGTGTGTGTGTGTGTGTGTGTGTGTGTGTGTGTGTGTGTGTGTGTGTGTGTTTTGTGTTTGTTTGTGTGTGTGTTTGTGTGTGTTGTGTTGTGTGTGTGTGTGTGTGTGTGTGTGTGTTGTGTGTGTGTGTTTGTGTGTGTGTGTGTGTGTGTGTGTTTGTGTGTTGTGTGTGTGTGTGTGTGTGTGTGTTTGTTTGTGTTTGTGTGTGTGTTTGTGTGTGTTTGTGTGTGTGTTTGCGTGTGTTTGTGTGTGTTTGTGTGTGTGTTTGTGTGTGTGTGTGTGTGTGTGTCTGTGTGTGTGTCTGTGTGTGTCTGTGTGTGTGTGTGTGTGTCTCTGTGTGTGTGTGTGTGTGTGTGTGTGTGTGCGTGCGTGCTGGTGTCTGCGTGTGTTGATATGTGCTGATGTGTGTCGCTATGCGTGTTGGTGTGAGCCAGCCCCTACCTCGACCCGCCAACCCCACCCCCCCAACCCCAAGTTGTCCGGACAACTCGCAGAAGGCCCGAAACCCCTGCTTAGTGGGTTCAGGGTACTTAGTAGCCCTTAGTTATAATTCACTTTGAAGCCCCTTTAAGTGCCCTGATGGGCTTACAAGTGGGATATAAGTGCAGATATACTTGGGTTACTAAGTACCCTGAACCTCCAAGTGCCCTTCAAAACAAAAACCCTGAAAGCCCAGCCCGCCCCAAAAGCAGCCCTAAACCCCAAACCCTAAAACCTAAACCCTAAACCCCAAACCCTAACCCCTAAACCCCAAAAGCGGGCCGAGGGCCTCTCCAGGAGGGCTGCCATCGTTGTGACGCCAGGGCGCCTCCACACAGAGCCTGCAAAGGGTGCCAAGGCCGAAAACTAGGGGTTTAGGGTTTGGGGTTTAGGGTTCAGGGCTTGGGTGTTAGGGTTTGGGGTGTAGTTTCGAGTTTGGAGTTCACGGCTTGTTCAGAGTTTAAAAGGGTTCAGAGTTTGGAACCAGGTCTTAGTGTTCATGGTTTGCTTACTGGTTCTTAAGGGAAGTAGAAGGGGCTGTCAGGTCCAGGGTTCTATTTAGCACCGCGCCCTCGAGGCCAGGCAGGGAAGCAACCTGATGCAAATGGGCTCTGGGCCCATCATGCTTGCCGCACTTGTCCATCCCTGCGCAAGAACGAGCGCGCAATCCAGAGCGAAGTTTGATCAGCCCAGGCTCATGCGATTTGGAAGCGCGTAACTGATGAGTGCCGGTTGCAAATGTGTACTTCGAGTGCGTCCTCATCAGACAAGCCTTGCGATCAGTCCGAGGTACTGGGTAAATGCCCGTGGGCCAAGTTGCGGCTACAGGGATGTGTCTGTTTTCGGTTCAGAGTTGAGGGCTTGTTGGATATTTTTTCGGTTCTAGGGTTTTGGGTGTAGGTTTCTGGGTTGAAGGGCCTTGGGTTCAGGGTTGCGGTTAAGGGCTCCGGATTAGGGTTTAGGGCTTTGGGCCTTTCAAGTTTTGGGTTTGGGGAGGGCTTAGGGTTTGGGGATTGAGGGTTAGGGCTTGGGGCTTGGGTCCTTTTGGCTTCAGGGTTTAGGGCCGTGAAGGTCAGGGTTTAGGGTTTACACATTCGGGTTTTAGGGTTCAGGCTGTAGGGTAGAGGCTTTCTTCAGCAAAAAAGGGGTTTTTAGGGCCGTTAGGGCTTAGGGTTAAGGCTTTAGGGTTTGGGGTCTGTGGTGCTGAGGGTGTAGGGTCTTTAGGACATGGAAGAAGTTTAACTAGGTACCACCGTTGTTTTTAAAAAATAAGGGTTAGGGTTTCTTAGGGAACCTATACTAAGATATCGCCGGACAAGGAGGAGTCAGTCCCACTCTGGGTCCCAGTAACTCCCTTAAACCCTAAACCCTAAACCCCTGAGGGCAGCTCTTCCGAGCCAAGCTCCCTGTAAGTCCCAGACCCTAGAACCCCAAAACCCTGAACCCTAAACCCGAACTCCTCTAAACCCTACACCCTAAACCCTAAAACCTAAACCCTAAACCCTAAACCCTAAACCCTAAACCCTAAACCCTGAACCCTGAACCCTGAACCCTGAACCCCTGAACCCTGAACCCAGAACCCAGAACCCTACACCCTAAACCCTAACCAAGGGCTGCCGCCCAGGGGCAGGATTCGGCTGAAGCGATCGGGGCTCTGACCCAGGCCTCTCGGCTTTAGAGGGCTTTAGAGGGCTCCTTGTCGGGTTATGGGTTCATAGGGTCATAGGGTCATAGGGTCATAGGGTCATAGGGTCATAGGGTCATAGGGTCATAGGGTCATAGGGTCATAGGGTCATAGGGTTTAGGGTTTCGGGTTTCGGGTTTAGGGCTTAGGGCTTAGGGTTTAGGGTTCAGGGTTTAGGGTTTAGGGGGATTTTGGGGGTTTAGGGGATTCAGGGCTTGTAGAACCCATTCTGAACAATTTGGAACCCTGGAAAATTGATAATTCTTGCTGTTTCTGAGGCTAAGGAACCAGAGGAACAACTTCGTGGTGGAGGGCTGGGATGCCCCCTTGCGGTCGAACCCGAAACTCCGGATTCTAAAAGGCCACCCCCACTGCCCCAACCTGGCAGTGCATTGGGCTGCTTGCTCCAGCTGGCGAGCTTGCTGCCTTGAGCATCAGTTGGCCCCCTTGCTGGGCGTGAGGGCCCCGACCAGGGCATCATCAGCATCAGTTGGCCCCTTGCTGGGCGTGAGAACCCGACAAGGCGAGCATCATCAGCATCAGTTGGCCCCCGTGCTGGGCGTGAGGGCCCCGACCAGGGCATCATCAGCATCAGTTGGCCCCCTTGCTGGGCGTGAGGGCCCCGACCAGGGCATCATCAGCATCAGTTGGCCCCTTGCTGGGCGTGAGAACCCGACAACGCGAGCATCATCAGCATCAGTTGGCCCCCGTGCTGGGCGTGAGGGCCCCGACCAGGGCATCATCAGCATCAGTTGGCCCCCTTGCTGGGCGTGAGGGCCCCGACCAGGGCATCATCAGCATCAGTTGGCCCCCTTGCTGGGCGTGAGGGCCCCGACCAGGGCATCATCAGCATCAGTTGGCCCCTTGCTGGGCGTGAGAACCCGACAAGGCGAGCATCATCAGCATCAGTTGGCCCCCGTGCTGGGCGTGAGGGCCCCGACCAGGACATCATCAGCATCAGTTGGCCCCTTGCTGGGCGTGAGAACCCGACAAGGCGAGCATCATCAGCATCAGTTGGCCCCCGTGCTGGGCGTGAGGGCCCCGACCAGGGCATCATCAGCATCAGTTGGCCCCCTTGCTGGGCGTGAGGGCCCCGACCAGGGCATCATCAGCATCAGTTGGCCCCTTGCTGGGCGTGAGAACCCGACAAGGCGAGCATCATCAGCATCAGTTGGCCCCCGTGCTGGGCGTGAGGACCCCGACCAGGACATCATCAGCATCAGTTGGCCCCTTGCTGGGCGTGAGAACCCCACAAGGCGAGCATCATCAGCATCAGTTGGCCCCCTTGCTGGGCGTGAGGCCCCGACCAGGGCATCATCAGCATCAGTTGGCCCCCTTGCTGGGCGTGAGGGCCCCGACCAGGGCATCATCAGCATCAGTTGGCCCCCTTGCTGGGCGTGAGGGCCCGACAAGGCGAGCATCATCAGCATCAGTTGGCCCCCTTGCTGGGCGTGAGGGCCCCGACCAGGGCATCATCAGCATCAGTTGGCCCCCTTGCTGGGCGTGAGGGCCCCGACCAGGGCATCATCAGCATCAGTTGGCCCCTTGCTGGGCGTGAGAACCCGACAAGGCGAGCATCATCAGCATCAGTTGGCCCCCGTGCTGGGCGTGAGGGCCCCGACCAGGACATCATCAGCATCAGTTGGCCCCTTGCTGGGCGTGAGAACCCGACAAGGCGAGCATCATCAGCATCAGTTGGCCCCCGTGCTGGGCGTGAGGGCCCCGACCAGGACATCATCAGCATCAGTTGGCCCCTTGCTGGGCGTGAGAACCCGGGCGCATCATCAGCATCAGTTGGCCCCCCCGAAGGGGAGCATCATCAGCATCAGTTGGCCCCTTGCTGGGCGTGAGAACCCGACAAGGCGAGCATCATCAGCATCAGTTGGCCCCCGTGCTGGGCGTGAGGGCCCCGACCAGGACATCATCAGCATCAGTTGGCCCCCTTGCTGGGCGTGAGGGCCCCGACCAGGGCATCATCAGCATCAGTTGGCCCCTTGCTGGGCGTGAGAACCCGACAAGGCGAGCATCATCAGCATCAGTTGGCCCCCGTGCTGGGTGTGAGGGCCCCGACCAGGGCATCATCAGCATCAGCTGGCCCCTTGCTGGGCGTGAACCCGACAAGGCGAGCATCATCAGCATCAGTTGGCCCCCTTGCTGGGCGTGAGGACCCCGACCAGGACATCATCAGCATCAGTTGGCCCCTTGCTGGGCGTGAGAACCCGACAAGGCGAGCATCATCAGCATCAGTTGGCCCCCTTGCTGGGCGTGAGGGCCCGACCAGGGCATCATCAGCATCAGTTGGCCCCCTTGCTGGGCGTGAGGGCCCCGACCAGGGCATCATCAGCATCAGCTGGCCCCTTGCTGGGCGTGAACCCGACAAGGCGAGCATCATCAGCAGCAGTTGGCCCCCTTGCTGGGCGTGAGGACCCCGACCAGGACATCATCAGCATCAGTTGGCCCCTTGCTGGGCGTGAGAACCCGACAAGGCGAGCATCATCAGCATCAGTTGGCCCCCTTGCTGGGCGTGAGGGCCCCCAGGGCATCATCAGCATCAGTTGGCCCCTTTGCTGGGCGTGAGGGCCCCGACAAGGGCATCATCAGCATCAGCTGGCCCCTTGCTGGGCGTGAGAACCCGACAAGGCGAGCATCATCAGCATCAGTTGGCCCCCTTGTTGGGCGTGAGGACCCCGACCAGGGCATCATCAGCATCAGCCCCTTGCTGGGCGTGAGAACCCGACAAGGCGAGCATCATCAGCATCAGTTGGCCCCCTTGCTGGGCGTGAGGGCCCGCGAAGGGTATCATCAGCATCAGTCGGCCCCCTTGCTGGGCGTGAGAACCCGACAAGGCGAGCATCATCAGCATCAGTTGGCCCCCTTGCTGGGCGTGAGGGCCCGAGAAGGGCATCATCAGCATCAGTTGGCGCCCTTGCCGGGCGTGAGAACCCGACAAGGCGAGCATCATCGGCATCAGTTGGCCCCCTTGCTGGGCGTGAGGGCCCGAGAAGGGCATCATCAGCATCAGTTGGCCCCCTTGCCGGGCGTGAGAGCCCGACAAGGCGAGCATCATCAGCATCAGTTGGCCCCCTTGCTGGGCGTGAGGACCCCGACCAGGACATCATCAGCATCAGTTGGCCCCCTTGCTGGGCGTGAGAACCCGACAAGGCGAGCATCATCAGCAACAGTTGCCCGAGAAGGGCATCATCAGCATCAGTTGGCCCCCTTGCCGGGCGTGAGAACCCGACAAGGCGAGCATCATCAGCATCAGTTGGCCCCCTTGCCGGGCGTGAGAACCCAACAAGGTGAGCATCATCAGCATCAGTTGGCCCCCTTGCTGGGCGTGAGGGCCCCGACCAGGGCATCATCAGCATCAGTTGGCCCCCTTGCCGGGCGTGAGAACCCGACAAGGCGAGCATCATCAGCATCAGTTGGCCCCCTTGCCGGGCGTGAGAACCCGACAAGGCGAGCATCATCAGCATCAGTTGGCCCCCTTGCTGGGCGTGAGGGCCCGAGAAGGGCATCATCAGCATCAGTTGGCCCCCTTGCCGGGCGTGAGAACCCGACAAGGCGAGCATCATCAGCATCAGTTGGCCCCCTTGCCGGGCGTGAGAACCCGACAAGGCGAGCATCATCAGCATCAGTTGGCCCCCTTGCCGGGCGTGAGGCCCGACAAGGCGAGCATCATCAGCATCAGTTGGCCCCCTTGCCGGGCGTGAGAACCCGACAAGGCGAGCATCATCAGCATCAGTTGGCCCCCTTGCCGGGCGTGAGAACCCGACAAGGCGAGCATCATCAGCATCAGTTGGCCCCCTTGCTGGGCGTGAGGGCCCGAGAAGGGCATCATCAGCATCAGTTGGCTCCCTTGCCGGGCGTGAGAACCCGACAAGGCGAGCATCATCAGCATCAGTTGGCCCCCTTGCCGGGCGTGAGCACCCGACAAGGCGAGCATCATCAGCATCAGTTGGCCCCCTTGCTGGGCGTGAGGGCCCGAGAAGGGCATCATCAGCATCAGTTGGCCCCCTTGCCGGGCGTGAGAACCCGACAAGGCGAGCATCATCAGCATCAGTTGGCCCCCTTGCTGGGCGTGAGGGCCCGAGAAGGGCATCCTCAGCATCAGTTGGCCCCCTTGCCGGGCGTGAGAACCCGACAAGGCGAGCATCATCAGCATCAGTTGGCCCCCTTGCTGGGCGTGAGGGCCCGAGAAGGGCATCATCAGCATCAGTTGGCCCCCTTGCCGGGCGTGAGAACCCGACAAGGCGAGCATCATCAGCATCAGTTGGCCCCCTTGCCGGGCGTGAGAACCCGACAAGGCGAGCATCATCAGCATCAGTTGGCCCCCTTGCCGGGCGTGAGAACCCGACAAGGCGAGCATCATCAGCATCAGTTGGCCCCCTGCCGGGCGTGAGAACCCGACAAGGCGAGCATCATCAGCATCAGTTGGCCCCCTTGCCGGGCGTGAGAACCCGACAAGGCGAGCATCATCAGCATCAGTTGGCCCCCTTGCCGGGCGTGAGAACCCGACAAGGCGAGCATCATCAGCATCAGTTGGCTCCTTTGCTGGGCGTGAGGGCCCGAGAAGGGCATCATCAGCATCAGTTGGCCCCCTTGCCGGGCGTGAGAACCCGACAAGGCGAGCATCATCAGCATCAGTTGGCCCCCTTGCTGGGCGTGAGGGCCCGAGAAGGGCATCATCAGCATCAGTTGGCCCCCTTGCCGGGCGTGAGAACCCGACAAGGCGAGCATCATCAGCATCAGTTGGCCCCCTTGCTGGGCGTGAGGGCCTGACAAGGCGAGCAGACCCCTGGGCGCAAGGGCCCGACAAGGCGAGCAGGGGAGAACAGGGCCCTGCTTTCAGGCCTGTGCTGCTCCAATCCTAAACCCTGAAGCCCTCAACCCTCAAACCCTAAGCCGCTAAAGCCCCAAAGCCCCAAAGCCCTAAAGCCGCTAAAGCCCTAAAGCCCTAAAGCCCTAGAGCCCTAGAGCCCTAGAGCCCTAGAGCCCTAAAGCCCTAAAGCCCTAAAGCCCTAAAGCCCTAAAGCCCTAAAGCCCTAAAGCCCTAAAGCCCTGAACCCCGAATACCGAAATCCTAAACACGTAAACCTTCCGCGAAAGGAAGCCGCCGCCTGGTTTTGCCGTGTCTGCAAAAAGGACAGGCCCTCAACTCGGGAGACCCCAAACCCTGAACCCTAAACACTAAATCCTGAACCCGAGAAGCTAAACCCTAAACCCTAAACCCCAAACCCCAAACCCCAAACCCTAAACCCTAAACCCTCTAACAGCCCCACTGTCCGCCTTGCACGAAGCTGCGTAGCTCGGTGTCTTGGGGCCGCTCCTTTGCAGGCTGCGAGATGGCTTCTTCCTTAGGGCTTCAGGGTTTCTTCGGGAGCACTGGGCAACAAGTTAGGGCTTAGGGCTTAGGGCTTAGGGTTTGGGGTTTGGGGTTTAGGGTTTGGGGTTTGGGGTTTAGGGTTTAGGGCTCAGGGCTCAGGGCTTAGGGTTTGGGGTTTAGGGTTCCTAAACCTGGGACGCCAAGCCCTGAAGCCGCAAGGGACATTGCAGCCATGAACTCCCCCCCCCCCCCCCCCCCCCCCCCTGGCCTACCAAACACCCTAAACCCTAAACCCCAAACCCCAAACCCCAAAACCCAAACCCCAAAACCCAAACCCCAAACCCCAAACCCCAAACCCCAAACCCCAAACCCCAAACCCCAAACCCCAAACCCCAAACCCCAAACCCTAAACCCTAAACCCTAAACCCATCCCCCGCCTTGGGGCTTCCCCCCCCCCAGCCTCCTCGAGCCAGCAGGGTGACGAAGCCACCATCTCCTCCGGGGCTTTTAGGGTTTCGGGTTTAGGGTTTTTAGGGCTAGGGTTTAGGGGTAGGGTTTAGGGGTAGGGTTTAGGGGTTTAGGGGCTGGAGGGCTTAAGGGTTTGAGGGTTTGAGGGTTTTAGGCTCTATGTCTCAGGCCAGCGCTTTGGCTTCTGGTGAAAGGGCATTTGATCCCTAAACCCCAGACGGGTTCCGGGGCCTTGGCAGGAGACACAGAGAAGCCAACGTAGGGGGCCGGAATAAAAATCCAGCCCCTCAATTTTCCAATTTACGAAAGCCAGCCCCTCGATTTCTTGAATTTAAGAAATCCAGCCCTCAATATCTTAAAATTAAGAAATCCAGCCCCTCAATTTCTTAGATTTTTGGAATCGAGGGGCTTATTTGGGAGGAGGGGGGCGGGGGACCCTCAATGAAGAAATTAATGGGCTGGATTTCTTATTTGAGGCGCGGCGGGGGGGACCCTAATTGAGGGGCTGGATTTCGTATTTGATTTCTTATTTAATGCGGAAAGGGGGTGGGGGGGGACTGGATTTCTTATGTGAAGGAGGGGGGCAGGGGGGGGGTGGGGGGGGGAGGACCCCCAAACCCCTACAATTTCAGAAATCCTAGAATTTGTTTATCCAGCGCTGTCACAGTGCCTTATCTCAATTCCTACAACCCTGCCAATCTCCACCCCCAAAACACTGGTAGAACCACAAATCCTCAAACCCTGAACGGAAAATCCTAAACCTGAAACATCAAAAACCTTGGCCCTCCTGGGAGCCCTGCGCCCCCTCTTAGTACCCCCCGTAGCTGCCGCCCTTAAATCACCTCAATTCGGCTTAACTGTCCCTCAGTAGTCTGGAACGTGGGGGGGCTAGTATAGAGGGGTAGTCCCCCTAAACCCTAAACCCCTATAAAGCAGGAGGAGGCCTCACTTCCATTTGCACTCACCAGTAGCGATTTCGGGCTTGGCGAATTGCCCATGCAATCTCTGCATTGAGAGCAGGTGTGCCACATATGTGAGCTGGTTTGGCCCTGGCACATGCTACCTCCTGAACCCTAAACCCTAAACCCCTAAAAGCCTACAGCCTAAACCCTAGACCCCTAGAAAACCTACAGCCTGAAGCCCTAAACCTCGGAGCCCTGAGCGCCCCTGTTACTACCCCCCCTAGGTTCCCCCCTCAAATCAGCTTAATTAGGCCGAATTGTCCGCCTTAAGTACGGCGGGAACCTAGTGGGGATACGTAGCATAGAGGGTGGCAGTAGAGGAACCCTAAACCCTAAACCCTCAACCGAAAAGCCCTCCGCGCAAGGCCTGCGCCAGTTGGGCGACCCCGGCAGCTGCCTGTGGGTGCTTTAGGTTTAGGGTTTAGGGTTTAGGGTTTAGGGTTTAGGGTTTAGGGTTTAGGGTTTAGGGTTTAGGGTTTAGGGTTTAGGGTTTAGGGTTTAGGGTTTAGGGTTTAGGACTTTGGGTTTAGGGTTTAGGGTTCAAGTCCAGGGTTCAGGGTGGATGCAAGGGCAGTGCAGGTTTCCTTGAGGGGCCTCGAACAGCTTGAAGCATTAATTCTTAGTAGGGTCGGGTTGTTTTGGAGCAGTCAGTTTTAGGGGCAATGCTTTCATCCTGCCTGCTCTTCGCGCCCAGCCAACTGGCGATTGGCCAGCGCACACGCAAGCAGCAAGCCTGATTCGTAGGATGCCCGAGGCCCTATGGTTTTAGGGTCCCCCTAGGGTGGTTCTATGGTTCTTTGAGTTCTGCCTTAGTTGTATTGGGGCTTAACCGCCTTGTGACGTGTGTACCCATGCACAACTTCCACCACCCCAATTCCAACACCCTAAACCCTACACACACCAAGCCGCAAACCTCTTCCATTCATACCCACTTTATCCCCTACACACCTTGAGGGCTCCTCCATGGGGCTTTACGAAAACAGGGGACCCCAAAAAAAGAACCCAAATCGTAGGATCCCCTTAAAAAAAGGATCCCCATACGATACCCTATCGGACACCCCCCCATTTTCAGCCCCAAACACATGCCAGAGTCCATATATCAAGGGCGCACACACACAAGGTCTCTGACAGCTGTGAGAACCAAACATAGACAACGTCTGCGTCGCGACACGCTCATGCGCTGCTACTGCCCCCGATGCGCCACTTCTTTCTGGGTGTTCCGACGTTGCAACAGATTGCGTTTGCCCCAACACAAACGTATTGCAAAAAAAAACCTACAGTATTCACCGAGAAACAGCGTTGTTCAGCTCATGGTGCCGTAGCATCACAAGGAAGCAAAGGGGTCTGAGATGGTCTGAGTACATGTGGTGGGACCGGTCTACATAGGCCACAAGGCAGCAGCGGGCCATGCTGCTTGCAGGTTACAAAACTTCTTCATCGGAATCACTAGGCATCTGCTGCCATTAGTTTGCATGTTGTTGTCATTCTGCTCGTCAGCCATAGTTATGTGCTTTGCAGCGATGGCAGGCTCAGCAATCGTGTTCTTCCGAGTCGCAACGAGTTCAACGACGACGATTCTCAATCACTGGAGAACCGTCTGATCGAATACCGCGCACACCCAGTACAGGGAATGTGAATCTGCTGCAGCATCAAGAACCTTTTGACAGCTGAAGTGTGCGTGGTGAAGAGCTTCATGCATTTCACAGAAGCATCGAAGCTGTTGCAGACCATCAGCTCTTATCTTCATCTGTGGTCATGGAGAGAAGTCGCCTTTAAAAAAAGGGAAAACCTTACAAAAAGGGCATCTGCTTCATGGTTCTTTTTGGTGGCACAGGCATTTTGAACAACGACATCTCCTCGATGCCCTGAAGCCGAAACCCGAAAGCATGAGGCACTAACCCTAAACCCTAAACCCTAAACCCTAAACTCTAAACCCTAAAACCTAAACCCTAAACCCTAAACCCTTACCCTAAACCCGAGCCTGCGCAGACGCGGGCACCCTTGGAGGGGCAGTCGAACAGCGCTGAGAGGAGCCCCAGCGCCTCTGAACTCGGGTTTAGGGTTTAGGGTTTAGGGTTTAGGGTTTAGGGTTTAGGGTTTAGGGTTTAGGGTTTAGGGTTTAGGGTTTAGGGTTTAGGGTTTAGGGTTTCAAGATCCTGTCAGCGACCGATGCAAGTGCACCAAGAAAATCCAGCGAATTCACAAAACAGTGTTTGCACCTTGTACGAGTTGGCAGAACCAAGGTTTGCGCATGAAGCAATCTGCAACGTCGTCTAGCAAGACGATAGCGGCGTGATCCCACAATGCGTCATCTGCAAGCGTTAAGGTTTAGGGCCCCGATACCCGGACCTTGCGTTCTTATTGGGCCACTGCCACTGCTGCTGCCGGTCCGTGTCAGTGTCGTCCTTCGGCTCAGGCTGAGCAGCTTGCTGCCTCCACCGCCCTGGCCGGCTGACCGGCTGCTGCTGCTGTCTTGACCGGCTGTCCCCTTTTCAATTCAACCCAAACCCCTTAAACCCTTCAACCCTAAACCCCTCAACCCCTAAGCCTTGAAACCCTAGAGCCCCTTAACCCATTAACCCTTCACCCTAAACACTAAAAGCCCCACCCAGCCTACTAACCTTTAAACCCGAAAGCCCCTGCAACTCTGAAGGTTTTAGGGCTTTAAGGCTTAGGGTTTAAGGGGTTTAGGGCTTTGGGTTCCAAGGGTGGGGTTAGGGTTTAGGGTTTAAAGGCTTAAGGCCTTAGCTTTTTAGGGTTTAGGGTTTCGGGCTTAAAGGCTTTATGGTCCTTAGGATTTTGGGGTGCATTAGGGGTGCTTTTTTGGGGGGGCCCTAAACCCCAAACCCCAAACCCTAAACCCTAAACCCTAAACCCGGTGCACAAGCGATCGACATGAGGGTGTGGGGCGTTTCTGAGGGCTTGGGTCGGTTTTGGGCTTCTGAGGTGTGCGAGGGCCAATCTCCTACCCCTCCATAAAGATGCTCACCCTAAACCCTCATTAAACCCCCTAAGTTGCTGAGTTCAGAAGCCCCCAAGAAGTGTACACGTTCAGTTTTATAGGGGGTTATAGTATCCCAACACGTGTAAAGTGTACTTAGCTACTAAGGCCCTACCCCAAGGCCTGAGGTAGTATTGAACATGACCTTGCCTGGACACGTCCAAAGCCGATTCCGTCCCGACCCCGCTCCTTCTAAAACCTTTACCCCCAGCAAAGACGCCATATCTCAGACCTAAAGCCCGAAGTTGGGCGCCTTGTTTTGGGAGGAGATGACGGCCTTACTCTGAATCTATAAAACAATCCCGCGAAGCCTCCCCGCCGCAAGTCTCTTCTCCCCCCGCCCCCGTCCCATACCCTAAAACCCCCTCATCCCTAAACCCCCTAAGCCCTAAACCACCCTACACGCCCCCTAAACCCTAAACCCCAAGAAAGCCCAAAGCCCCCCGAAGTCCTGAACCCCAACCCTGAACCCTGAACCTGAACCCTCAGACCCTCAGCCCTGAACCCCTAACACCTATGCGGAGCTGCAAGTTGTATTCAGAAATTGAATGGAAGGGTGAAGAAAAAGGGTCAATGTACCCGGTGATTTTTTGGCTCAAGATGTGCCATGCGCCTAGTAAGAAAAGGGTGCTTGGTCCTTTGGGTTTGGTTTGTGGTTGGTCCAGGGGGCTTAAGGGCATCTTCTGGGGTTGACTGTTTTGTTCCTTGTCCCTCTTTGGTTGCCCCCCGTAGGTTATGAGCCCAAATTAGGCTTCCTGCGGTGTAGGTAAGATGTTTCGCTTGTTTAGCGCCATGGACATGTTGCGGCGTCGCTCAGAACCTGGACTGTCATCCGCGGCCAATGAAGCCGAAGAAAATCATGGTGATGGGGGTGAAGAACGACAGCAAGTGGTACAAGCGCTGACAGATGGTAGGGAAGTTGCAATGATACAACCAACGTCTCAGGTGGAAAATGAAGTGGTTCCGTTTCCAGCAGCGAATCCTTTCTGGAGCGAGCGGGCTCACGAAGAGATGAGACTGAGGCAATCAAGGCCGGCAAGTCTTCCTGCGAGCGGAGGGGATAGAAGTGGTGAAAATACGAGGAGGCCACCGTCGCTGCCAGATCTTCGGGATCGAGAACCTGCACCAGCTGAGAGGCCATCGTCAGGCTTAATGGGCCAGATGGAACGAGGTAATATTGGTGAGACACAAGCAGAGGAAGAGCTTATTCCTGATCTGACTGGTGAAGAGCAAGGTGAAGATATGGCAGTGGTAAAGCGTGCACTTAAGGAGTTGCTGGTGCAGACACAGGAGCTTGGAAACAGGTTGCATAGAGTGGAGGAGAAAAGTTATACCTCTGCTGCATCTGGGTCAGCTTCGCGAGCACGGAGCACTGGAGTGGTGGACGCAAATGCTGCATATCCCTTGGGAATGACTCCAGAGAAACAGTATCCGCCAGGACAAGTTTTCTACACTGATGGGATGGGTGGTTTTTGGACTGTGTTGCCTGATGGGACATGGCTGCCTATTGAGGGCTACGACCTGCCAAAGAGTTGTGGCCTTCAACCCTTGCCTGAGTCCAGGAAGGGGGATGCTCAGGTGGAGGAAGAAAAAGAAGTAGCTGAAGGGAAGAAACCCTCCAGATTGCCTCCACTGAATTACCCCCTGGGAGGTTCTGCAAGTGGTGTATATGCAGGTGCCCCACCCGGTTTGACACATGCGCCGATTACTTCCTTGCCGACAGGTGTTGATGGTTCTGCCGCACCTATAGTGAATCAGCCCGGTTTTGTTTCAGCTCGGGAAACCGTGACGCAAGAGAATACGGCAGGATCGGGTGGATATACAATGGTGGATAATGTTCCGTATCGGTGGAAAATGACAGCTGGGAAGTTGGAATTAGAAAAGGTTCCACTCACAGCTTTTACGCCTGGTATGGGACATGGACTGCCGCAAAGGCCTGGCGGTAGTGTCAGTTTACCTCCTGGAGCAGTGGTGCCACGTGGTGTGCCAATTGGTGATAGTTCTGGAACCGAACGTCCGGAGGCTCTTGGGAAGCATGTGATGAGCCTTCCTACTTTGGCAGACTACACACCAAGCAACCCGACGGCACTAGGAGATTGGATCGCAATGCTCGAACCAATGTTGTCTTCGCTGACAGATACAGGAAGGGTGTGGTGGCAATGCGTCTATTCAAAGGCGTATCAGGCGTATGCCAAATGGTTGAGTGTTTCTCCGCTGGAAAGGTTGGGCATCAAGGCTGAGCTGGAAGGGCTCAAGGTGGTTCAAACTGCGCACGTTTTGTTGGAGCAGAGGGCAGTGTCTTTGCTGTTGCAGGCGATTCCGGAGAGACTGAAGACCGAGATCGTTTCCACTCGAATGTTGGGATCGGTGATGATATTTTACAAATTGCTGACGGTTTACCAACCAGGTGGAGCAAACGAGCGCAGCACAGTGTTGAACTTCTTGGTGCAACCATCTTCGGCAACCTCGATCTCAGAGGCCATTAAGGGAGTGCGTCAATGGGCGCAATGGCGTTCCCGATTAAGGGAGTTGCGAGCGGCCGAGCCGGACGCTACCTTGCTTATCAAGGGATTGGATGCTTTATCATCCGCGTTGCTGGCAAAACACCCTACGGTTCATTTCAGAGCGGCATCCTTTCGGGAGAAATTGGGGGTGGACTACTCGCCGACCTCTGAAACTGCGACACAACTGGCTGAAATGTTACAGGCAGAGTTTGAACTGCTATTACATAGCGCTGGTGATCAAGAGGTGAAGCAGGACTCGGACGCCAAGAAAAGGGCAAGGTTAAACAGGGCCCAAAAGGGAACTGGTGACGAGACAGAGGAGGGTGACAAAGGCAAAGCGAAAGGAAAAAGGTACAGCAGTGATGGTGAACGTCCATTCTGTTGGATATATGGAAAGACAGAAGCAGGCTGCAAGTTCGGGTCACGCTGCAAGTTTCGCCATGACAAGGACTCCCTGGAGCGTGGAAGATGTTTCGAATGTGGGGCCGTTGGCCATTTACAGCCGCAGTGTCCATACAAAGATGGTGCAAGTCCCAATGTGGACTCAAATTCCGAAAGGAATAAATCTAAAGGAAATTCTCCCAAAGGGGGAAAGGGCGGCAAAGGTGCGAAATGGGGAAATGCCAAAAAGGCAGAAGTGGCTGAAGGGGGAGATGAGACGGCTAATGCGGGACTGGAGAAAGGTTCTGCAAGTCCCTCATCACCATCAACACCCAATCAGGTCCTTGCTGAAGCGTTAGAGGTGCTGAAATCTATGAAACTGTCATCAGCGCAGTCAGCATCGAGCGGGGATCCCAGTGTTCGGATGTTATGTTGCTCTGGGGTTTTTCAGCAGGAAAGGAGAGTGGCGTTGGTGGACACAGCTGCTACGCATCTTGCGCGGACGCTTTTTGCATGGGAATGTTTACCCGACACTACTGTTACGGTGCAAAGCGCGCTTGGTGGTGTGATAATGAGGATTACAGAGAAAGGGACTTTGATTGGGGAAGACAATGGGCCTCTGATTATCCCTCTCTGGTTGATCTTGGAGTTTGGGGCGAACCTCACAGTGATCAATGGGATGTGTCACGTGGGTGCAAAATCTTCGCTGGACCAGCTCTTGTGGTTTGAACATGGCTGTTTGGTTATGGATTACGAAACAGCTGAAAAAATGGTTTTGCATGCTGAAAGGCAGTGTGCGTTTTGGTCCCATTCTCAATGGAGGAATGGAAGGGCAGACTGTGGAGTCGGTTCGTCTGACGCCACGTTGTTGCCGAAGCAGGGAGAAGGCCGAGGAGTATGCGTCCTACGTGTGGCCAGGGTTTCTGACACCAATGAGTGTTCGGGAATGGGCATGTTGGACTCAGGAGCATCACATCCTCTCAGATCACTTCGTCCTGGTGAACAGCTTCCGCAGCAAAAGGTGTTGGTGTCCTTAGCTGTTGGATCTCGGGAGATGTGTATTACCCCAGGTGGGACCCTGGTAACTCCTGAAATGGTAGATCCACTAGTGCCAATTGGCAAAGCGAGCGCCTTGGTTGGTCTCAGAGTTCAGTGG